AACCGAAAAAAATATATACCAAATGAAAGGTAATGATATCATGCATCTTTATAAAAAAAAATTATATTGATTCGGTTATTTTTAAAAAAGTTATAGCAATTTTAAGTAAAAAAAATTGAAAAAATTTCGAAAATAAGCGATTTTTAAATTTGTAATTTTTTTGGAGGTTTCCCCCATTTACGGGGAACGATGGAATTTTTTCAATTTTTTAGGGTAATGTCTTCGACTAGATACGATTTGTTATCTTTTGACGTATCATTGAAAGACCGAATCAATATAATTTTTTTTTATAAAGATGCATGATATCATTACCTTTCATTTGGTATATATTTTTTTCGGTTTGGTGAGAGCTGAGAAAAAGTGGTAACAAACACAAAAAAAACACATCATAGTAAAATCAATACCTTCTCAGCTTTGCATCGAAGCTAATAAAATAATGATGTGAACATAAGCTGATTTAATTTTTCAACTTTTAATCTATTAAAAAAAAATAATTTATACCTAAATACTAATAACAAATAAGTTATAAATAATTTTGAAAATACATATAAATTATAAACAATGTAAAATTTATTTTATTTAAAATTAAAAACAATCCTTGCTATTTTTTAGTCATATCTTTATTACTATTATTTAGAGCACGCAAATAGCAAATTAACAAAAACAAATAAATTACCTATTATAACTACTAAATTATAAAAAAACAGATTAAAGGTAAGATTTATCAAAAAATTTTTCATAGAGTAATACACTCTATGGAATTTTGTAATTAATTAGATTCTAATCAATGCATATTTCAATGAGTATCAATGATACTTGATAGTTTGTTATCATTTGTTGGACCAGAGTTAAAAAAAATTTATCTACAACCACGTTTGGAGTAACTGCTATTCCATTTATTATTACGTCCAGAACATTATCTTTTTCAAATAACGTTTTCTATGAATATAAAAATGAAAATACAGCCATAATAATTACTGTATTACTATTACAATAGTAATCACAAATTAATAATAATTTCAATGTATATAAGGCCTAGTACGTTATTGATAATTCGTAAAAATAATTGAATTTTAAATTTGAGGGGGCGGCCCTGGGCCACATTAAATCTAAGGGGGGTCAGGCCCACCCATGTCTACGTGCCTGGTAACACGTGCAAAACTGGATTAACAATGTGGATGACAGGCGCAAAGTAAAAAAAAATATATATTTTTGAAATTTTTTACATTATTTATGTATAAAAAAACTAAAATCTTAAAAATTTTCATTCACTTTAGACAATACTTATCATTTGATGTACCAACAATTTGGCGACAACCAATGTGTCACGAAGTTGATTGCTACTTCTGCTTGACTAAAATAAAGCAACATGGACGTCATAAAACAGTTGAATATGCACATGTAAACTCCATGTCAAAACCAGTTCCACATTCACTCTCAGTTAAATATCCTGTTTGCCCCAAAAGGAAAAAAGAATGTAGTGAATCGCCAGAATCAAGTAATCATGCCGAGTGTAAGACTGACATTAGTTTTAAACTTGAAAAAATTCCGAGATTATATGAAAATTATTAAAAAAGATTATATGAAAAATTGTAAAATTTTCCATCGTTTTCCGTAAATGGTAGAAATTTCCTAAAGAATTAAAAATTTTAAAATCGATAAATTTCGTTATTTTAAAATTTTTTTTTTTTAAACTGCCATAAATTTTTGAAAAATGAAGGAATATAAATAGGTAATTCCCTATCATTTAGTACACATTTTTTGAAATTCTGACCCTGAAACTGTTCACAGTAAGGATTCAAAATGGAAAATTTTACTCAAAAAATTAATTTTTTCAAGTTAAATTGAAAAATGATCCAGAAATACTCCGAGTTTCAATCATATGTTAAAATAAAACTTATGTTATTTCTTGTTTATATTATTTTCGAAATTCATCCTTTATAATTTTTAAGGTGACAACTTTACCTTTGGAATGACAACATACATATTTAACTAGCTTATAAAATAAAAAATGATTTAATAAAGAAAATGTATGATTGATGACAACTTTCGACTCATTATTCCGAAAAGTTATAACTACTTTATAATATAGAGGAGATTAAGAGTGGGTTGTTATTTTTAACATTATTGTGGCACAGTCTTTGTCCACTCTTTATTTAAAAATGTTGATAACTTCTTAAATACAACTTTTTTATTTTATTATCTAGTTAAATATGTATATAATCCTATTAAAAATAAAGTTGACACCTTTATAAGGTATAAAGTTCAAATAATAAAAAAAAAAACTTAATAATTAATAAGTCCAAATTTATATATAATTAAAAAATACCACACATAGTTTTTTTATTATAATTATTTTAAGAGATATAGAGTGGCTACTATAAAAATAATCATCTTGTATATAACAACTTATAACTTATTATAATTTTTCCGTAAATATTACAATACTTGATTATTATGTAAACACAATTGAATTACTAATTTTTTTTTTATAATTTTGAAAAATATTTTCATATTGTCGTAGATGAGAGAAAATAGACTTAGATGGTTTGGTCATGATATGAGGAGAGAAGATTCGGAAGCCGTAAGAACAATTGTAGAAATGAATTTTAAAGGAAGAAGAGGTAGAGGAAGACCGAAAAAAAGATGAAGAGATGTTATTGAATGCGTATGAGGACAACTGACGTGAGCGTAGAGGATGGAGAGATCGTGTCAAGTGAAAGTTTAAGATAATGGTGGCCGACCTCAAATAGTTGGGATTAAGGCGAGGAAAAGAAGAAGAAGATTTTCATATTGTCATTATGGAGCTCTTATGTGAATTTCAATGTGTAAGTTACAAAACGTTGACATTTTATGTTTTACTTCAAAATTCCAAACGCTCGTCAAGTTGTAAAATAAATTTACAGAGCATTAAGGATAATTTGCCAATAATTAAGGCTGAGATTCATAAAAAATTTAAATCGAAACATATTAAGTAATTAATAGCATTAGCAAATTTTCCATATTTTATAATATAGTAAAATGGTATCGCTAATTTTATCAAACTTTGCTAGTTTTAACTAAATATTTAATGATATTTTAAAGGTTTTTATTGAATTGTATTTTGTATTTAGGGAGGAGGATAAGGATCAAAACTTCATTATGAAAACAATAAAGTTTAAAAATACAATTCATTAGAAGTAGTAAATCTTTTGTTATGAATACCCTCCTTGAAAAATCGTGAGCACTTTAATGATAATTATTTTATTATTGATGATTATTTATTAAACGATAAATAGAATTATTAATCCAAATACCAGTAATAATATTTACGATAATTTTACAGAATTATCTATTTAGATAATTTTATAATAGTAACGATAATTAATTAAATTTAATTTGTGAAAACAACTATTTAATATTAAATAATATATGGTGCATATTATATTCTGGTACAAAAATAAATAATGTAGACCTTAGACCATCAAGATATTATGATGCTATCATAAATGTGAAACATAAAATATTAGGAGATCGATAACATTTTTATTAGTAATATAAATAAAACAAAATTTTACTATTTTTATAATTAAATTTGTAAACTATTTAATAAATAAAACAATAAATGGTAAATTAAATTAATCAAACAATATTAGAATCGTGTATTCTTTTGTTAACAAACATACTTCTGATTGGATTATTTATGTCAATCGTCTACTAATAAAAGTTAAATTATTTTTTTAATATCAAGCAGAAAATTTTGAAAAATTGATCCTCAATCAATTGGTGGAATTCCTGAAATAAAATAATGAATAAAAAAATATAATTTCAATTATTGTTACAGTTTTATTTTATTCCAATCATCTTATAACTAAAACGATTTTAAAAATTAGTGATAATATTTTAATTCACTCATGAATTTTTAATTTACATTTGAATAGTTTTCGTGAGAAGTTGGTCAAATCAAAAACGGTAATTATTCAGAAAACGAAAAACACGAGATACTTTAATCTGTTAGAAATTATGAATATTAACCCAACACTTTTCAATATGTCATAGCATTATAAAATTAAAAATGTAAAATACAAAATCGAGAATTTTCACACAAAAATAGCATTTGGTAACTATTTTCACCATGAAGACAAAATAAAGTCCGAAATTTTTTTTTTCATAATTAAGTGCATTGTATTATCTTTAATTTAAGATATATATAAAAGTGTCAGACTTTCCCGAAAACTTTCAAAAGTTAAGTTGAAAAAGTTGTCATTTTAAATTCCTCCTCGTAGGCAGGTAAAGGGTTAAATTTATGAAAAAAATATTAAAATCAATTAAATTAAAGAATAAAATATATTTTTAGTTGATATTAATAAATAATAATTATAATATATTTTGTTGTTAAACTACGGAAACATTTTAAAGACTGTAGAAATTGATTTTTTTTCAAAATGTTTTTCTGTATTATTGTGAACAAATATAACTTTCTTTTATTTAAATCTTATATGATAAACATTACTTTCAATAATTAAATATTTAAGAAAGTGTGTGAAAGTAAATGAAAATTTAACATTTTTATCAGTAGCTATTAATATTTTGATACCTTGGATTGAGTTGGAACAAAAATGTCTAGTGATAAAAATTACAGCACCCGAACTTTCATCCTGTTATTATTTTAAATTATAAAAGCGTTTTACATACTGGTCCAAAAGTTATTATAGACTAGTATTTATGAAGACCATTTTTTATTTTATAAGCTAGTGATATATGTATGTTGCCAATATATAAAAAGAAAATTAACATATTATTTTTAATGATATAAAAAACATTTAATAATTAATATATCGAGAAATGTATAAAACTAATAATTCTAAAAAATTTATTCTGGACACTGTTATTATTTAAAGTTCGTCAACTATATCGACATTTCGATTCGATATCGATATCGCCGACTTTTATCATTTTTCCCATGATATTGATTTTATTTTTTTTGAAATAACTTATATATTAAAATAAAAAGTAATTTAAAAATATTTGATTATCGTTGTGAGATATAGCTATTATCTATATATTATTTTATATTAATATTATTAACTTATGTGGTTAATATACCATAGTTTAATTTTTACAACAATGGTAACTTAACGGTATTCTTGAAAATAAAAATAATGGTGAAAACATTTAGATTATAAATTTAATTCGTAATCGTAAGAAACATTATGAACAGGGTTCGGGACTTATAGCACTTAAAATCATCAAAAAAAGCGCTTAAATAAGCACTACAAAACATAAAAAAAAGCACTCAAATAAGCATTTATAAATAAAAAAATTAATCAAAAAATCCCCAAAAATTTCTTAATTTTCATATAAATAATAAAATACTAAATATTTGTAAATGTGCTGAATATACTTTTTTAGGACTTAAGGATTAATTACCATTTAAATGAAATTATTTCATTGAAAAAAAATACGGGTATTTAATTAATTTATTCTTTTAATTATAAATTAAAATTAAAAATACAAAAAAAAAAATATACAAAAAATTAATTCTGAAAATATCAAAATGATGTCTGACTTCGACTTTCAAGTTGAATGACAAGAAATTTTAAATATCTTGTTTATGGATTTTTTGAAAAATTAAATATAAATTTGTGTTGATATCCCAGTATGCCATAGTGATCTAAAAATATTGTTTATCGAGAAATCCATTATAAAAAGGGAATCAACCAAATACCACACTAGTATGACACTTCAACCATAGCTAAAGAAGTTAACGATGCCGAGGACGGCGTTGGCTATCAAATAGATAAGATAACAAAGACAAAATCCTACAAACAAGGAAGGCAATTGAATTATTATCCTTATTAGATCTATCAAAAACCGATAAAAAAAACCTGAGTAGGCTGCGTCATAAAGAAAATATTTTAATGTACAAAAACAGAAAAAACAAGAAACAAGCATTTGTTTTTTATTAAATCATCGAAAAAAGCAAAAAAAGAATTTTCTAGCAAATGCTATAAGTCCCGAGCCCTGNGCAGAAAAAACTGAAAATAAGCGTTTTTTAAAAAAATCATCAAAAATAGCAAAAAAAAGCATTTTCAAGCAAATGCTATATCCTGATATATCATAATCCTGATAATCCTGATTATGAACATCCAAATCCGCAGATTATTTAGCCGTCAATATCTAGACTATTCAGATAACTAGATGATGCGGATTATTCCCATTATTTATAATTATACAAGGTGTAAATGTATGGAACTGATACGATCACATTTGCATGTGCTCATATCTCTGTCTCCCATAACATCGTTGTACCGTTTAATAGACATATATATATATATAGAGTGATTTTTTTATCATAACCCACTCAATTACTTGCAGAATAATAATAATTTAAACATTTTTTTTTATTATTATCTTTATTTACACATTATTCTTGAATTTTTAACTATGTAATACTTTTTAAGTTCATCCCTTATGCCTTGGAAGGGGGTCAACTTTGTTTTTT